AAGTCAACAGAATTCAGTAACTAGTCAGAAGTAAAGATTAAGGGAGAAGGATGAATTAAGGAAGACCCGAGTGTTATTTTGTGGAAGATAACAAATAACAGCAGTAGCTTTCCAGGTAGAAGTAACTGATGAGCTGTGTCTTGTTTTGTAACTCGAGGGCCATGAGACATTTCCTGGATTTCAGTATCCATTAGGTAACTGGAAATCTGGGGGTGAGAGCTCAGAGGGAGGGAATACAGTAACAGAACTCTCAACCCAGCTACTTCTGCTGGGGAGGCAGCCATGTTGTTCTTGGTCCCTCCAGGCCAGCCTCAATTCTGTGAGGTCATGTCTTACTCAGTCCCACCATCTCCAAGACTCCCTCCCTTACTTCTGGGCCTCCGACACAAATATCCCAGGCCCAGAAATAGTGTTTCCCTGCCCTCATGTCCTAGATTATAGATCGAGGAAAGGCCTCAGGAATTCAGAATAACAGCAAACCACTGTGACTGCTACATGCTTCGGGTGGCAGGGGAACTGGTGAAAAGAGGGCAGGCCATGGAGAGACAGCCAGAGGAATGGCTGCAGCCAGGCATCCTCTTTGTTAGCAAGCTGGAGAACCCTGCAGCAGGGCCATAGGCACAGGGGTTAGCCATGCAACCATCCCAGTACGTCGATGCCCTGAGCATCAGAATAGCACAATGGATGAGCACCCAAAGAACTGACACCCAGCTTTACAAGCTGAAACCTGCTAGGCAGATATGATTTAATTTTGTTAATAGATCTAGTTTTTTCAACAAGTGCAAATTCTCATAGGTATTACTGTGGCTCATGATCCATAGAAGGAAAATAGTTTTTCAGAGCTTCCTATGTTTAGAGACCATCTAATCTGACTCCCTTATTTTACAGAGATAGAAATCAAGGTCTAAAGAAGTTAAGTAGATGTCATGGAAATGTCACTGCAGTGTCACTGCAGAACTTTCATAGGTAGGATCCAAAAGAGATTGGGAAAGTTCTATTGTTAGAAACACTGTTAGCAAAAACACAAAGGGAGTTCTTCTTATCATAGGACTGCAAGGTGTGAGCAGAAGGGAGGAGGAGGAGGGAGGAAAGCAGGGAGAGGGTATGTCTGTTTCACAGAACAAGCAGCTCCCACCGAGGAGACAGCCCAATGGATAGCCCCTTGCCTGAGGCATATGGGAGCTGAGGACCTGTGCAGAAGGCCCCCTGAGTTGCCCTGAAGTTATGTTTAGTTCTTTATAATACGAAGATTTCCTCCTTAACAGGCAGTGTATGGGCTAGCATGTTGACATGCTAAGTCCTCAGGTAAGTGCTATGCTAAGGCACAGGTAAGTGCCTAAGGAGCCAAATATGTGTAGGTTCCTTAATGCGTCAAGCTCCTCTCCCTGGTTCCCTAGCACACTGAGTTAAAGCCTCTCACACGAACCCCGTGCAAGACAGTGCTTTGGGAGCTACCTTCCCTTCTCCTTACTTGTGGCGAATAATAATAATAAAACTCTTTGCTTTCAACACTTTCTGGGGTTGTGTTCAATTTAATGCACCCCATGCAGTGAACCGCCCCCCTCAGTTTAGTTCCGAAGAATCTAAACAACTTAAAATTTTAAATTTTGTTTCTGAAATATCTCTGCGCAAGGCTGAATTTACATGGTTTCTCTCCCTTTCTTCCTTTCTCCCTCTCCCCTGCCCACACTACTGCCATCTGTCTCTCTTAAAGAAGTGGGAACCACTAACTAATATTTCTTATTCAACATGACAGACTGGCAGGAGCTAGTTACTGAGCCACAAACAGAAAACTTGCAATCATGACCTGAACTTCTTGTAAGATCATCATTATTTTGAATTACTCTAACTTCCATTTTCCACCTGCTTAGCAGAAGCTGGGTAAAAGGGAAAGGTTTACAACAAAAACAACTTCAATACTTAAAGCACCTTAAATACTTCTCCCCATAAAGAAGATAGGAGTTAAAAAGACAGTAATTTTAGAATAAAGGGTGAAGGGGCTGTTGAGGAAATGTAATTTAAAAAGAAAACAGGGGGTACTTGGGTGGCTCAGGTCATGATCCCAGGGTCCTGGGATTGAGGCCCTCGTCGGGCTCCTTGCTCAGCAGGAAGGCTGCTTCTCTCTCTCCCACTCCCCCTGCTTGTATTCTGTCTCTCACTGTCTTTCTCTCTCTGTCAAATAAATAAAATCTTTTTTAAAAATAATGAATAAAAAATAGGGGCGCCTGGGTGGCTCAGTGGGTTAAAGCCTCTGCCTTCGACTCAGGTCATGATCTTAGGGTCCTGGGATCGAGCCCCGCATCAGGCTCTCTGCTCAGTGGGGAGCTTGCTTCCCCCCTTCTCTCGGCCTACTTGTGATCTCTGTCTGTCAAATAAATAAATAAAATCTTTTTTTAAAAATGAATAAAAAATAAAACGGATCATTTGCAATGAGATGTGGCTGGAACTAGAGGGTATTATGCTAAGCAAAATAAGCCAGAGAAAGACAAATATATGACTTCACTCATATGTGGAGGTTAAGAAAGAGAACAGAGGAATATAGGGGAAAGGAAGGAAAAATAAAATAAGATGAAATAAGAGAGGGAGACAAATCATAAGAGACTTCTAACTATAGGGAATAAACAGGGTTGCTGGAGGGGAGCGAGAGGGGAAATGAGGTAACTGGGTGATGGGCATTAAGGAAGGCATGTGATGTAGTGATTATTGGGTGTTATATGCAACTGATGAAACACTAAATTCTACCCCTGAAACTAATAATACACTACATGTTAATTAATTAATTGATTTTAATTTTTTAAAAAGTGGAAAAGAAAATAAAACAGGAGCACCTGGCTGGCTCAGTCAAAGAGTGCAGCTCTTGATCTCAGGGTCATGAGTTTGAGCCCCATGTTGGGTGTAGAGATTACTTAAGTAAATAAATAAAATAAAAAAAGAAAAAGAAAATCTTCTCTTAAACCAGAGTTCCTCTCCAGGAGGGTAGTAGGGAAAGAAAACACTTTATTATTGATTTATCATTAAACCAGAATGGGATGTTCATCACACACAGTTAGCTAAGAAATTGCAAGGACAAAAAGAAATCTCACCGTTTTATATAGCCAAGCAGATACAACCCATCACATACATGCTCTCAAGATAAACAGTAACTATTCCTCAATTGAGAGAACTGGACAGCACCATTAGTCACGTGCAGTTCATCCTAACTTGACCTGGTAATTGGGGTGACCATCTTTGTGAGCTAACTGACCTGATCAGGGGTGGGTGGAAACAAACTCATCTTTACGACAGGATATACTTTTACAGCTTGGAGCACTAAAGTTAGGCACCTAGCCTCTCACAGAAACTGGGGGAGATTGGTGTTCTCTCCTGACATTTACCTTTCAGAGATAGCTCCAGGCCCTTGAGAAAGACATTCCTGGGTCATTAAGCTGACAAGTGTTCCCATCTCGTTTCTAAAAGGATGCACTGCAAAGAGACTGAGAAAATACAAGTTCTCTAAGGTAAATATTCTGACAGAAAGGGAAGAGAGAGAAATCTCTTCCCTTATTTTCAACAAGAGGAATTAAGCCTCTTATTTTAACTTCATTCACTCTAATTTGGAACAGGCAGAATGTGGACAGTGTTTTTACTCAGGCCTCCATGTCAGGGCTGCTTTTAGAACCTTTTGGTGTCTTGGCAAGAGTTTCAAGATGGCAGCCACTTCAGGGCTTGGTGAGAGATTGGAAGATAGATTCCATTCTCATCTCACCCAAAACCTTTGGACAGGGCATAACCTGCACAACCATCTGTGGTGGTTCTCATTGCAGCTTTGTTAACAGTTGGTTGAATGGTTCTGAATAAACAAAGGCCAAAAATGTAATTCTGTGCCAGAGGGAAATTTTCTATTAATTCTCCTCCCTGACCCTTTGTCAGTGCTGTTTTACCTATTAGGTTCATAGACATTATCTGTTTTATATTTCAATCATTAATCATATGGATTTTGGAGATGTTCTTAGATTCCTTTGCCCTCCCCCACCTTTACGCCAGTGAATCACAAACACATTAGAATCACACCTGCAGCTTTAAAAACAACAAAAAAAAGACTGTTAGGAACATCCCACAAGCAACCAATTAAATTAGAGTTTCTTAAGAGTGAGAGTGTGGCCTCACTACGTTCCAAAAACTCTTATAAAACTTACAAAACAAAACATTTAAAGTTCCAGAAGTAATTCTGATGTGCAGCTTAGAAATAAGAACCACTTGCTTAGGCTAGTTCTTTCCTGGCATATAAAATACAGCTGATAAAAGCTCCAATTTCCACAAAGTGAAAGAGATCTGATAACATCCTGTTTGGGGGGCATTTCAAGAAGATTAATCAAAGGCCTATTTGTACCAGTGATTCCTGATAAAGTTAATTAGCATATCAGGACCCACAAAATGGAGACCGGTCCCTACCACAAATCTAAACCTAAAACAGCCGCACCACAACACCTGTCAGGGAAAGCTTTCCGCCCTACGCCCCACTCACCCCGCCCAATCCCCCTGAGCTCAGCTGGAGCGGGTTTACTTGCCCTGGAAAACAGCACTGCCAGGCCTATGTAAGGCAAGGGCGACCTCCTAGCCAATCGCGCTCGGCTTCCGGGTTGCTGCTTCGGCCCAAGCATAAAACTCTGGCTCACGGCCCTGGCCCTTCGGGAGAATGTTGTTGCTCGTGAGGCGCTGTGCTTCCCCCAGTCCTGGATTCTTTTCCCAGACTAAGGACATCAGCTCGTTACTAAATTGTTTTAGTTGTGTCCTTTGACAGTTTAGCAACAAAATGGGACCCAAAGACAGTAGTTGAAGACTCTGGGGCGGCCCTCGGGGCGCCTGAAGGTCCCCACAGAGCTCTTTGGGCTCACTGAGCCCTTCCTGACGCTCTCTGGAGTCTGCAAGGAGCTTTTCTTGAGCTTAGCTTGTTTTGCATTCCAAGCTCTCTGAGTTCATCTTGATCCTTCTGGCCAGACCATCCGTGTGTGAGAGACTCCGACTCCGGATTTTTCACAGGGAGGCCTAGTGGGCCAAGACATTTGGTTTGCGGTTGACCTCCTCTACAAGGTAAGTGCTTTTTTTTTTCCTATGATGGAAAATGTAAAGATTTACTCTCGGCAACTTTCAAATATACAATATAATATTGTTGATTATCATCACCATGCTGTACATTACATCCCCGTGACTTATTTTAAAGTTTGTACCTTTTGAACTTCTTCGCCTATTTTGCCAACACGGCCCCCCCACCCCCGACACCCTCTGCTTCCCACAACTGCTCATCTGTTCTGTGTTATGAGCTCCTGGAAATTGTTTGTTTAGATTCCACATATAAGCGAGATCGTACAGTTGGTCTTTGATTTATTTCACATAGCATAATGTACTCAATGTCCATGCATGTTGCAAGTGGCAAGATTTCTTTCCTTTATATGGCTGCATAATACTCCATCGTATATCTGTCACTTTTTGTTTATCCATTGATGGGGACATTTAGGTTGTTGCCATATCTTGGTTATGGTAAATAATACTGCCATGAACGTGGGGGTACAGATACTTTTTCAAGTGAGTGTGTGTGTTTTCTTTGGATAAATACCGAGAAGTAAAATTGTTGGATCATAAGGTAATTCTATTTTTAATTTTTTTGAGGAAACCTCAAACTTTTTCACAATGACTGCATCCTTTTACATTCCCACCGAGAGTGCACAAGGATTCTCTTTTCTCCATATTTTCACCAACACTTATTTCTTGTGTTTTTTTTTTTTTTGATAATAGCCATTCTAACAGGTGTGAAGTGATCTCCTTATGGTTTTGATTTGCAGTTCCTTAATGATTAGTGATATTGAACATATTTTCATCTCCCTGTTGGTCATTTGTATTTCTTCTTTGGAAAAATGTCTATTCATTTCCTGTGCCCATTTTTAAATTGAGTTATTTGGATTTTTTGCTATTGAATTGTATGAGTTTTTATATATTTTTGATATTAGCCCCTTATCAAATATATGATTTGCAAATATTTTCTCCTATTGTATAGGTTATCTTTTAATTTTGTTGATGGTATCCTTTGCTGTGCTAAAGCTTTTTAATTTAATGTTGTCCCAGTTGTTTACTTTTGCTTTTGGTGCCTTTGCTCTTGGGATCAAATCAAAAAAAACCATTGCCAAGACTGATGTTAACCTTAAAAATAAAACTGAGTAATTTTGCCAGAAAAAAATGGGTTTATTTGGGAATAGCAGAGAATTGCAATTCAGAACAAACAAGCTATGGTAAAACCATAGGCAAATCTGGAGAACGAAGGACAGGAAAGTTCATGTATAGAGGAAAGGTGGGATTTGGGAGGGACTGTTAATAAACAAATAATCTGTTGGAATAAACTGACCAAGTTGGGAGTATAGTGCCTTTTCATTGACTGAACTGTGTCATTGGCCAGGCTGTTGCCAGGCAAGGAGAAAATCTTTGTTCCTCCCGTTGTCATAGTAAAGTATAGGTTTCTTCCTCTTGGGATCTGCAGTTGATGAGTGGGAGGGTTGTGAGAGCTCCTGGCTCCGACCTCCTTACTCCATTTTAAATGAGGTTTCCTTTTGTTAATTTTCACATGGCTTGTGTTTTCTTCTAGGTTTATAATTTCAGGTCTTATGTTCAAGTCTTTATTTTGTGTTAATTTTTATATATGGTATAAGCTGGCAGTTGAGTGTCATTCTTTTGCACGTGGCTGTTCAGTTTTCCCAACACCATTTGTTGAAGTGATTGCCTTTTTCCCATTGTATATTCCCGGCTCCTTTGTCCTACACTGACCGTTTATGTGTGAGTTTATTTTTAGGCTCTCTGTTCTGTTTCATTGACCTATGTGTCTATTTTTATGCCAATACCATACTGTTTGATTAATATAGCTTTTTTTAAAAGATCTTATTTCTTTATTTGACAGAGAGATCACAAGTAGGCAGAGAGGGAGGCAGAGAGAGAGGAGGAAGCCAGCTCCCTGCTGAGGAGAGAGCCTGATGCGGGGCTCGATCCCAGGACCCTGAGATCATGAACTGAGCCGAAGGCAGAGGCTTAACCCACTGAGTCATCCAGGCGCCCCAGAGTAATATAGTTTTGTAATATGGTTTGAAATCAGGAACCTTGATGGTTCCAGCTTTGTTGTTCTTTCTCAAGATTACTTTGGCTATTCAGGGTTCCATACAAAGTTTAGGATTCTTTGTTTTATTTCTCTGAAGTGCCATTGATCTTTTGATAGGGATTTCACTAAATCTGTAGATTGCTTTGGGTATACAGACGTTTTAACAGTATCCATTCTTCCAATATACAAACACAGAATATCTTTGCATTTATTCATGATTTCTCAAGGTACTATCTTAACCGAGTTTAACACCAGGGAGGTTTTCAGAAATTTTGCATGCGAAGTTGGTCTTAGAATGTTCTCCTTGACAAACACAGAAATGGTACTAAGTGGACAAGGTAGAACACTGTAAGGCTGTGGGGTTTGGACTGACAGTGAGAGTCAAATACAAGGTCATTGAAATAATCTTGGGTAAGTTACATACCTTCTCATGCTAGTTGAGGTTAAATGTAATAATATATTTTTTTAAGATTTTATTTATTTATTTGACAGAGATCACAAGTAGGCAGAGAGGCAGGCAGACAGAGAGGAGGAAGCAGGCTCCCCGCTGAGCAGAGGAGAGCCAGATGCTGGACTCGATCCCAGGACCCTGGGATCACGACCCAAGACGAAGGCAGAGGCTTTAACCCACTGAGTCACCCAGGCGCCCCAAAATGTAATAATATGTTTAAAGTGTTCAGGCACAGTGCCTGACACATAGTAAATGCTCAGTAATGCTACTGTTTAACATCTTGGGAAGTCCAGAATGGATTTTAAATAGAGAATGGATGTTTGGTGATGACATTCAGTTCAGTTGGTGACCATCCCAGTTAGGCTTGGCCCTGTGCTTATTACCCACAGATGGCAGGGGCCCCGGGGTGGTGGGGGTAGTAGGGGTGGGGGACAGAGAAATAGAAAACTCTGCTACTCTCCATGGGTTAGTTTTGTGGGTTTTTTTCTGATGGGTTGCAATGTCACTCTCACCTTCTACCCACTCCGTGTTTGGATCAGTGTGCATTGATCGTATTATAAGATACAAGAGGACTTCCTCACAGCCTTTGGTCTCCTTCCCCATCACATGCTGGGAGGGGGCCAGAGAACCCCACCTGCGTTGTGCTGCACAGTTGGCCTCTGGGCTCATCCCGTTTTTGAAACCAAAGCTTCTGGCACTGCCAGTCACCACTGCACACGTTTCTGAGCTTCCAAGAGGAGGCTGTGATCAGACACTGTGGTGCAGGTTGGATCTATAGCCAACCAACAGGCCCTGCCCTGAATCTTTGGAAATGTGGTTAAGATTTTCCCTATCCTCAGATTGTAGTCAACCTGAGAGATGTTTTACTCATCAGCTGAACTGACTGATCCATCTTTAGACATTGTCACCTGGCCATGCTTGTTGGTTTGTCACAGTTTCCTTGCAAGGGAAAAGACATCAGCTTGAAAAGTTATGGATTGTTTACTTAATTTAATATGGGAGGATTTTTTAAAAGATTTGTTTGTTTATTTACTTGAGAGCAAGAGAGAGAGAGTGCACACACCCATAGGAGGGGCCTGGGGCAGAGGGAGAGTGAGAATCTCAAGCAGACTCCCCCACTGAGTGTGGAGCCGATGTGGCTGGCTCTCAGGACACGGAGATTGTGCCCTGAGCCGAAATCAAGAGTTGGATACTTAACTGACTGAGCCTGCCAGGTCCCCCACATGTGGAATGCTTTTAAAACAATGTAATCCCTTCAGAATTGGGAAACATGAACTAATTAGATAATACAAATAATTTTATGGTGGAATTGACTTAATGATGAACCTGCTTATCTGTATATATGGAAGAATATGAAAGTTTTCCAAGTGCTACTGAATAAATTTGCATCAATGATAAAAAGATCTGGGGTGTCAGTCAGTAGAACATGTGACTCTTGATCGCAGGATATGAGTGTGAGCTCCACAGTGAGGGGCGGAGTTTACTTAATAAAAAACAAAAATATTCTACCAATTATAAATTTTCTAACACTTTTGTAATACTCAGGTGTGCTTCTGCTTAGGTGGGTTGTACTTTGCCAAGAGCAGTAGGCCTAAAGTGGTCTTTTGTGTGTGTGATACGTATATAAAATCATAAAATGTAAAGCAGTTTTATATTCCAATACTTGTTTCCTTTTTGGGGCAATATTTTTCAATTTGCAAATCTCAACCCATGTATGGGTCAAAACTAGCATTATTTGTATGAAATAGAATAGAATAAAAGGGGATAGAAGTGTCAGAGAACATCACATGTACTAAGAGTAGGTATTGTTTTGTAAATTGATTCAGCATGGAGTGTAAATGGACTGATCTTTTTTTTTAAGGATTTATTTATTTATTTATTTATTTGACAGAGAGAGAGAGATCACTAGTAGGCAGAGAGGCAGGCAGAGAGAGAGGGGGAAGCAGGCTCCCTGCTGAGCAGAGAGCCCAATGTGGGGCTTGATCCCAGGACCCTGAAATCATGACCTGAGCTGAAGGCAGAGGCTTAACCCACTGAGCCACCCAGGCACCCCTAAATGGACCTGATCTTGATGTGGGATGTAGTTGAAGTATTTTCACATTAATGGTTTATATCTCAGCATTTTTACTTGAGCTATAGCATTCCCTACATGAAATGGAATGGACACAAATTCCTACAACATATCTGAGTAATGGGCCAGAACAAATATCTGTGGCCAAAAAGCATAATTTCAATTTTCTGCCTAAAATGGTAGGCAAGGGGCGCCTGGCTGGCTCAGTCAGTAGAGCATGACACTGTTTATCTCCGGGTCATGAGTTCAGTCCCCATGCTGGGCATATATAGAGCATACTTACAACAAACAACCCTAGGCAAAATTTCTCTGTCAATACATGGTTGATGGGAATTGTTACCCTGGAATATTCCTTGGCTTTTAGTTGATTTGTTTGATTCTTGGAAACTTTCTGGGAGGTTGAGTCGTAAATCAGTTGTACCAAAAAATGT